AAACCCCCCCCGTCGACATGGCTGCGGCTGCGGCAGGAGACAAGATGCTTCCAGGCACCGCGGCAAAGCCCAGAAGGGGCTCAGGGCTTGATAAGCGAAGTCTCCGCTGGCCACAGGGAAGCTGGGAGGCATCCCCCGGGATTCCCCCAGCACAGGTACCTCTCTCCAGACGCTCGGTTGTCGGGGGACGGATGTTCCTAAGGGTGCAGGTGTGTTTATGCAATGACATGGTGGCTACCCAGGGCGTGGGGGCCTCAGAAGCACCCGCCTGCCCAAAGGCCAGCAGCTGTTTCGATGTTTGCAAAAGGACCGCCACCCCCCACGCCCAGGAGTTCTCCGGGCAGGCGGAGGACCGGCCATGGCTGTGTGCGGAGCCAGGGCGCACGGCTCAGTAGATTGCCCATGGCTCTACCTACCTGGCTCTCTCAGAGGGTTCGTGTGAAGCAGCCTGGGGACGGCCAGAGCCAGGGAGTGGTGGAAACGCATAAACCGAGCGCTCAGCCTCTCCCGTGCGCCGACGGATCGGCCCCACAGCGAGCCACGCGCCCCCCAGGCCGGCCACCCCAGCAAGAGCCAGGCGTGCCGCCAGCGCACTGGGGAACTCCTCTCTGGGGAGAAGGCGGGCGACAGCACCAGGCTCTGGCCCACTGTCGGCACCACGTGTCACATTACTGAATTTTAGGGAAGAAGCCAGATCACTGCTGCACCCATGGCAGGGGTGTTGGCCGCAAAAATGGCACAAAGGGGGCCGTGTGAGGTGTCAAACAGAAGCTTACTTTCTTCTGATTCTGCATATGCTATTCATGTGACTGTGTAATGTCTGTGTGTGGAGTTATAAGCATGGACTTTGTATGAGTACTGAATATTTCGCTGTCTGTGGTTGAGTAATGGGCCAGGAATGTTTGCCTATTGACATGCTAATGAGCAAAGCTCTGGAACAATAGCCCTCGATAGGCCAAGGACACACCTCGAGAATGGTGACTCATACCTAGGGGCTACCAGCAGGAGACACAGGGATAAGCCACGGACCAGGTGACCTGCTGCAGCCAAGAAGAGACCAGGAAGGAGGGATAAATAGGCCATGTGGCTGACTCCATCTTGGTCTTCAGATCTGCTTCTGACCCCAGCTGCCGCCTCGCAGGGAATCACGAGCTGGGAAGAAGTGTGAACCCATCCTGCTATAGGATGCGCAACAAGGACTTGTGCATGTAACGTACTATCCTTTAACAACCGTACTCTCATGCTTTTCTTTATTGTAGTAATAAACCTTTAGTTGTTAGATGCTAAAGGATTGGCCCAGCGTGATTTGTGGGTAAGGTCCAAAGGGTAAATTGACCAGGGATCTGTGGCTGGTTTCTTGGGACCGGACAGAACTTGTTCGGGGTAGGTGGGATTGGGTGCTAGGACCCCCCACCTGTGTATGAGGCCCGGGGCCATCTGGGGCACGGATATTGCTGGGGTGTCGGAGGGTTTTGTTCGTGAGGCTTCAGGCAGGCAGCTGAGCGCTCGGTGGGACTGGTGTGTGTCCTGTTTGGGAAGGTCTCCAGTCTGGGGCTGTAAGGAGCCCCGAATCTGAGCAATTCGCCCTGAGTGGACGCCCTCAGCTGTGCCCAGACCCGGCCCGGCCCGTCACACCACGCCCCATGGCGCAGCTCTCGTCCCGGCCAGGCTTTGCCCGCGTCGGTGCACACAGACAGACGGACGGACGGGTTCTCGTGGCGCGTCGCGGTACCTTGATAGAGAGGTAGGTGCTGGATCAGCCGTGCAGAGTGGGAACATCTGGCGTAGATGAGTTTGTGTGGGACAGAACCCCCCAGGGGTCAACAGTTGTGCCAGCCCCTCACGCGCTGCTCTTGCACCGCAGGCCTGCAGCCCGGGCACTAGAAAATGAAGGTCACTGATAGTTTAGAAAAAGAAACTGGGTGACAACAGTTGTGCCAGCCCCTCACGCGCTGCTCTTGCACCGCAGGCCTGCAGCCCGGGCACTAGAAAACGAAGGTCACGGATAGTTTAGAAAAAGAAACTGGGTGAGGAGGTGTGATTGTCGGTGTGTGTTTGTCCGTCTGTGAGGTGTGATTGTCGGTGTGTGTTTGTCCGTCTGTGAGGTGTGATTGTCAGTGTGTGTTTGTCCGTCTGTGAGGTGTGATTGTCGGTGTGTGTTTGTCCGTCTGTGAGGTGTGATTGTCGGTGTGTGTTTGTCCGTCTGTGAGGTGTGATTGTCGGTGTGTGTTTGTCCGTCTGTGAGGTGTGATTGTCGGTGTGTGTTTGTCCGTCTGTGAGGTGTGATTGTCGGTGTGTGTTTGTCCGTCTGTGAGGTGTGATTGTCGGTGTGTGTTTGTCCGTCTGTGAGGTGTGATTGTCGGTGTGTGTTTGTCCGTCTGTGAGGTGTGATTGTCGGTGTGTGTTTGTCCGTCTGTGAGGTGTGATTGTCGGTGTGTGTTTGTCCGTCTGTGAGGTGTGATTGTCGGTGTGTGTTTGTCCGTCTGTGAGGTGTGATTGTCGGTGTGTGTTTGTCCGTCTGTGAGGTGTGATTGTCGGTGTGTGTTTGTCCGTCTGTGAGGTGTGATTGTCGGTGTGTGTTTGTCCGTCTGTGAGGTGTGATTGTCGGTGTGTGTTTGTCCGTCTGTGAGGTGTGATTGTCGGTGTGTGTTTGTCCGTCTGTGAGGTGTGATTGTCGGTGTGTGTTTGTCCGTCTGTGAGGTGTGATTGTCGGTGTGTGTTTGTCCGTCTGTGAGGTGTGATTGGTGTTGTATGTGTGTGATTGCTCCACTGGGAGTGTGCATGAGGTGTGACTGCCCAGTTATGAGGTGTGATGGTCCCTCTGTGAGTGTGTGTGAGGTGTGATTGCCCAGCTGTGAGCGCGTGTGGGGTATGGTTGCTGGTGTGTGATGTGTGATTGCCCCGCTGTCTGTGTGTCACAGGTGGGGTTCTCAGCTGGGGTAAAGCGCACCATCCGCTGCTTGACACTGCTCGGGATGCAGTTCCCTGGAGTGCCTTTGGCTCAGTCTAGGTTTGCCCGGAGCACGGGGAGAGCTCCTTGGGGCCACACCAGAGTCGCTGTCTTCCCAGCACGGCTGGCTGCAAGGCACTGTGCTGGAACTGGAGC